ATATCACACCCCAAACTAAAAATATAACTTGAGTTACTCACATTTTAACTTAAAATTTCACCACAAATAAGAAGGTATATGAGCTTGTGATGCATTGTCCTACATTTGAAAGTTAAAATCTTTGCATAAAATTATAAGAGTTGGGTCATACTTAGTATTGTGAATTGATTTTGGAGTGAAACTCCAATCTCCCTTCCACTAGGAGCTAAAAAATGATGTAGAAACTGGATTGAATAATACATAATACCGATATACGTGTGCGCGTAATTGAGATTATAATTTTTTTAGCTATCTATTTTTGTTATTTATCTATGTTAAACTCTTCAGTGGAATCAGGGTATATCGTAGAAGATAAAACACCGACAAATGGTGCGGTCACCAATACACATGCGCTCTTGGCTCCCATCTCTCAACGAAACCAAATCAACATTGTCTTTTATATATACCCTGGTCAGCTGGACCAGTTGCTTCACCGGTCTCCCATCTCTCTTCCTTAACTAAATTGCCTCTGCAAGTGCCCCAGATTTCCATGAAGTAGCAGTCAACAAATCATCAATATTAATAGTAGCATTGAGACTGGAGAGACTTGAGAGGATATGGCAATTCCAATTCCAATTTCAGTTTCAGTTTCAGTGCGAGTTGCATTTACCATCACTACTCTCCTTCTCATGCTACTGCATTCGAAAGGTAGTGTAGCAGTGTCCAAAGAGCAAACAAGCTGCACGATGTGCAATGAGTGCCCCAACCCATGCCCCGCGCCATCTCTACCTCCACCATCGCCACCACCACCAGTTATCATTGAATGCCCACCACCTCCTGCGACTCCTTCTTCACCACCACCATTGCCGCCACCACCGGTTATCATTGAATGCCCACCACCTCCTGCGCCTCCTTCTTCACCACCACCAGCTCTCCCTGAATGTCCACCACCACCTCAACCTCAACCACCACCACCTGTGAGGCCTCCGTGTCAAGACACTTGCGGATCCTCGTCCTCTCCTCCCGCGGCAGATGTTCCCTCATTAATCCCGAATCGGCCTCCATTTGCGCCCTCTATAGTACCACCAAGCCTTTATCCTGTAAATCCTTACAGTCCCCCGCCACCTTATTTTTCTAAATCGGTTCATTTGAGAATGCACTTCCACCCTCATGGTCTTACTTCCATCTTTGTCTTGTTCACTTTTCTTTGCTTCTTCTTCTTTTAATTGTCAAGTAATTACGTACAAATAACTGTCAAGTAGCTAGCTAGATAAATATATATCTAGCCAGTATATGTGACAATATATATGTCCCTCTCTTATTTCTCTATGTATTGATCTTTTATAATTCTTTAATTTGGAAAATCATCTCTAGCTCTAGCTAGTATTAGTATTACTTGATATATATCATGCATGCACGGCTGCGAACCGGCCGGTTGGCCCTCTAATTGACTAGCTAGGACGCATGCATGTAATATAATGTAATGTATAATGTATATTGCCCCGGACGAGTGTTCTCTCGTTCATTAATGATGCGAGCTTCCAAGCTAGCTACTGGAAAAAAGACGAAGAAGAGAAAGCAAGCCATATGCATGTAATATGATTTTCCAATTTTGAATTCTTATAGTTAATACTGCTCTGCTATTTCGTGCAACTCTTTCACTTAGTGACTTCATCCTTATATAGTTGGTGAATGCCTGTTATTAATCCATCCTTCTTTCAAATCTCTGTAATTGCCCTTTTCTTTTCTTCCAATGCGCGCTTAAGATTTGGGACAATTCTCTACTCTCTATTTCTATAAGCATATCAAGACTCACTACGTATATGTACTTTGATCACGACATGCTTCGAAGATAAGACTATGAAAAAGGGCCACAGAAATAGATTCCTTTCTTGAAAATGGAAAGTGTTTTTTTTTCCTCTCATATTCAATTATTATTTTAATCAGAAATATTTCATTTATCATATAAAACGAGAAATATCATCGACAAGGAATACAATTTCATGTTTACAAGACTATACACAACATTAGCCACATAATAATCTTGCATCACCACCTACTAATGAATTTGCAAAAGACGATACTCCTTCGGCACAAAATCATTCAATGAGGCATCACGAAAACTCCCATTACCTGAAGACCTTGCAAAGATAAACGAGAAAATAAAAAGGCTTTAAATCCCCTCAAACCACCATAAAGGCACAATGACGTAAAGACTGCTATGAGTCACTTCCAACAAACATCAAGTCCCTCGCCAAGCACACAAGCCATAAAATCACCACCTCAAATTTGAACAACATTCACTGCTCTAAGATATGAGGATCAGTAGTAAATAGTGACTGCTACAAAACACTCTCCTCATCAAAGAACGATAGCGACTACAACTACGAAAAACTCTTCTCGAACCAGCGAGATAATAAAAAGATCATATTGAAAATGGGGAACCAAAAAAATCACATAACAAATCTCACTATAATTATATATATATAAAAAAATACTTTCTTGTCTTCCTCGAATAACCAATTGCTTTCAATGACAACGAAACATCGATCATATATAAATTAATCGGAGCAAAATCACAGCTGCAAATTTCCATGGATAGTACATGGTAGGGTAGGCAATCCTCTCCTCTAAAGAAATATGTGCAACCAAACCAACAACGAATCCTAGATCTAGTGTTGGAAATTGCATTATCTTGAACTTTAAGATTTAGATTTCTGAATTCTAGTTAATGTAGCGCTTGATTAAGTTAAGGATAAAACCAAGAAGTGAGACAATGCAAAACTCAATTTGACACGAAAGCCCTCCCCTCCTTAACCTTAATGTCCGTGGAAATGGGATGGAACGACTGACGTACGGCACACTCGTCTCCTCAACACACATGAAATATTACGCCACTTTCGTCGTCCTTTTATCATTCACGATAACATACTAATATATGGAACTCATGCATTGCACGCATGTACTTCCTATTGTATTTTCCATTAATTATTAAGTTGAAAATGGAGTCGGACTATGCTTTTTTTTTTTCCTTTATCTCCACTTCAAATCAAATGTCTTTGGGTTATGCTAGAAAACTAAATTTGCAAACTAAATGATGTGTTACCAATAAGAAATAAACACATTAATCAATACTTAAGTAATAATCTAATTATCAACTTCTATGTTATTTAATTTATAAAATATAGTCCAAACATTTTATCTTCCATAGCATTACCCAATGTTGTCGCTGGAAGAAATTAAATGATGTGTCACAGATAAGAATGAGCACGTTTATCAACATTTAAGTAATAAATCAATCATCAACTTTTATTTTTTTTATATTTCATTTTTTTTAAAGGAAGACAACTGGTGGCAAGCCACGATTATCCACCCATTTCGAGGGCAGGGAAGACTCACAGAGACATTCTTTTAGTTTTCAAAATTTTGTCTACAATTTTAATCTTATTGACATTACCTTAAAAATTAAAATAAAACTAATTGGACAAGTAGCTGGGTTTGGAGAAAATTTAGAGGGGTGTAGTCAACTTAGGATTTGAAAGGATTTTAATAGATTTTGCTAAGTGATGGATTTAATAGGATTATGAGCCTTCTACAAAATCCATATAGATTTTGAAAGACTTGAGAAGATTTATATAACAGATTTATGTGGATTTTGATAAATTTTACAGCGTTGAATCTTGACCGTTAAATAAATCAAATGATGATAAATGTATCTAGGTCATGAATCCACCAAAATGAAGCTGAAATAAAAAGTCAAGATTATCACATAAACCCAACTACTTAGACCTAGTTTGGGAGTGAGGTACTTAAAAAAAAGCACCCATGAAAAAAAGCTGTGAGGGTTTTAGGTGTTTGGTAAACTGAAAAAAAATGGCTTATTTTGGAAGCTGCTGTGAGAATAAGCTGAAATCAAAGGAAAAAGCTGAAGCTGCTATTTGTAGCTTTGGAAAACTGGTTTTTTTTCAAAGCACTCGAAGCTACAGTGCTTCTTTAATGAAAAGACTCACTATTAGACTGCTTTTTTTCCAAAAGCACTTTTACAAAAAAGTTTACCAAACACTCTGCTGATTTATTTCACAGCCGCTTATTCTCACAGCACAGCCGCTTATTCTCACAGCACAGCAGTTTTTTTTCAAAGCACAGCAATACCAAACCAGCCCTTAATAGTCTCCAGCTGCACTCCTTTCCAATCCTATTTCCTCCCCACTTTATTCTTCTCTCTTTTCCGTTCCAGCTAACCTCTCTCCTCCAATCTTTTTTTTTTTTCGTCAATACTCCTCGAATCTTGTTTTCCACGACTCTCTCTTACTCCTCTTCCTTCACAACCCAATTCCAATTCCCCCTCTTTGCCGTGAAGAAAAAATTGCACAAAATTGCAAAAAGAATTGTAGAAAAATTGCATAGGTGAAATAGAAAAATTGCAAAGATGAAGGAAGAAGATGAAGTGTGAGAGGAAGAGGGAGAGGTTCTTGGATTTGAAATCCTAAGGTGTGAGGTAGGATTTTATTTGGTTTTGATTATATATATTTCTTGCTCTCAAATCCCACAAAATCCACAAAATCTTTAATTTTTCAATACATTTTGATTTGGACGGACTTTAAAAATGCTTTAAAATCCTTTAGTTGATTACACTAGAATTTTAAGGTCTTTTAAAAAAGAAAACTAATAAAAATGGTTTGAAAATTTTAAGTTTTAACGATAAGGACAAAATAAAGGGTAAAGTGAATAATACCAGGATTGACTTTTTAGTGTAAAAATATAGTTTTTAGTTAAAGTGAACGGTAACTTTTCGTTAAAACTCCCCTTTTAAAATCCTTTCAAATCCAAATTTGACTACATCCTGGTTAATATCCAAGGATCAAAATGCAGCTGGCTGCTAGCACGTACCATCCCCCATCCCCCCACCACCCACAAACGCTGCTAGAACGTACCATGCCCCCGCACCACAAAAACATTCAATATGGACAGCGACACGCTTGTGAAATGCACCTCCCTCATTTATGTTCAGTAGATCACCACCCCTGACCCCTCCTACTCCTCCTCTACCAGACTTACTATTATAATATAAATACACTCAGAGAGAGACTGATTTTGTAACGTAATATATTTATTAGAATCGCTTTTCAACCCGTCTCACCCACCTCTCTCTCACTACTCCTCTCTCTCTCTCCCCATCTGTCACAAATTCACAATTCACAAACACTTCTAACAAATTAAGAAACGAGCGGCAGCGGCCGCCATGGAAGGTGTCTCTACAAGCGTTTGCAAGGGTTTGAGAGGCTACTGGAGGAGGAGAGGCTACGAGAAGCTAAGTGGGTCGGGTCGACAGCACAAGAACCGGACGGAGCTGGGTTCGATCCGTAAAAGGCGCGTATGGCGGATCCGGATCAAAATCGGTCCGAAGCTGAGCTTCCTCAGAAGAATCCCTTCGCCCAAGAATTTGTTGGTGTGGCTACGGGACGCCTATGTCAAGCTGATGCTGGGATTCGCTAACTCGCAGGTCTTTAGTACCGGCTACGGTGGGTCCGTCTGCGACTACGGGGTCGGCTCCTTTGGAAAGGGTCCAGTTAAGGAGTATGATGAGAAAATGATCATCGAGATCTACAAGTCCCTGATGCTGGCGCAAGGTCAATTGGTGCCCCGCGAAGCACCCAAGCTCGGCTCAGAAATCGTTCACCACCGGCTGTAAATCTAGAAGAGAAAATCACTTCACCCGCACCAAAAATAAATAAAAATTCACTCTTATTTCATTTGTTTCGTTTGCCCTTTTTTTTTTCTGGTAGTTTTATTTGAGTAACCTTTGATTGTAACGGGTAGATTTGAAAGCAGCTGGGAATAAATTAAATTGATAAAATGTCATGATTAATGAATTAATTCGTCTTTGTTCACTTTCTTTGTTCATCAATTTCAAGCAGATTAATTAAGCAATAAGTATTTTTCCTTGCTGGAATAATTAATCCAAGTAAATTAAAATGCACGTGGCTGGCTCTATATAGGAGGCTTTAAAATAAGGAAAAAGTAGGGATTAGATGAGGGTAGGGATATTCGGTTTGGGAATAGATATGCTATGATCATCTTCATAACCATAAAAATTAACCATCGTAAATTAACCGTCGGAGATTATCTATAACTATATCTACCAGGTAACGAATTCTTTATCGGTTAACGGTATATTCATTTTCATCAATACCAAAATAATATTAGATACTAATTTTGTCATTATAATATAATAGATACATTTGCTTATGCTTGATCTCTTCCATAAGCACCATTAGATTTTCATTGGTTTTGATTCAAAACTTTTGAATTTTCTCAGAAAATCCAACTTTTGTGATTGTTCAGATAATGGGTTCGGTGAATATGCATATATATTATACAATACTATATTTATTATATGTAAATTATATTATATATAATATGTATTATTCAGGTCAGTTTCGGGGATGGATATGGATCAGAGACTCTTATAACCATATTCGTAATCATAACTAAATAATATTTTCGATTTTTTCCCATATCCGAAATATAATCGAATTTTCATCTCCAAATTCATTTCATTCGAGTGGTTATCTACAGTTATCAGGTTTAATGGTTTAAATTGACATCCCTAATTATAGGGACTACATCAGATCAAACTTAAACGATCTGAACGTTTTATTTTTCAAATTGTGTCTGTTGACCCTAAAAACTATCAAGCCTACGTGGCGCGCAGGCCGAGTAACTAATAAGCTAACTATGTCCTTTGGTTATATGCGAGGCGTGCCAACTTCAGCCGAGTTCGGCCGGAGAGTAAAATATGTTGATGTGGCATCGGGCGCTCTGCTGACTTCTTGATCTTGCAACTGCAGCCGAGGAAGGAACATGTCTCGGCCTTTAGGTTCTAGAGCCTGAAGACAAAGCTGATAATCTCTTCGAAGTTCACAAATCGTCGGCGCCAAGTTCGATCTCGGTAATTATATTCGTGGAAGTATAAGTACACCGAACTGGCATCAAACTGTACAGACACAAATACTCAAAAAAGATAAATGTCTTGATTGTAAAAGTGGTTCGACCGTCGAAATGCCGAATTCTAAAATGTACTTATGAATATCCAATCATAAAATAAAACTCAATGTGCCGAGCCTAATAACCTGGTAACACCTCACTTCACCGAGAAGGTTGATAAAATGACATCCACCAACAAGGACTCAGAAATCCTTGTCGACTGAGAATTGGATAATAACCAGTCGGTCTCGAAGCAGTGTTGTTTATCCAAACTGAAGGTGCTCATCGGTCGGCTGATTTTACGGCTCCAGTGTTGTTTATCCAAATTGAAGATGTCGCCAGTTGCCTTCATAGTGATGTTTATCCAAACTGAAGATGTGTTGGCGGGAAGAAAAGGAGAGAGGAAAAAATCTCAGGGTTGTTGAGAAGCTTTGCGCAGGGCAATTTGTGTGTTGATTTGAAGGGGCTTTTCAATGTGGCCTACGGCTTTGTATTTATAATTCATCAGTAGCCTTGCCGTCGTAAATTCCAAGATAATATGTGTGAGATCCCACATCGTTCGAGGGATAGGAGGTAATGTGCCTTATATGTACATGCTCACCTCTCTATAGTAAGACGCGTTTTGGGTGGAAACCCAAGAACATATCCATGAGGGTATGGCCCAACGCGGACAATATCTTACCATGCGGACTGGGATGTAACAATATGAATATTATCTTTCAAGTATTCATATTCATGCAACTTGGCAAGGCTTGATGATTTTGTAGAGTCCAATTGGGATTCTACTACTTCCCGAGTCTGAGAAAGAGTCCCAATGGTGCTGGTAAGCGAATTGCTGCTTGCAACCTCCTTTTATTTAGGATATGAAAGTGGCAAGATAATTTAGTAAGTTATTAAGGGATAATTGTCATGATTAAAAATCATGATATTATCACTCAACTCAATAATAACTAAAAATTATCTTAACATCTCACTTACTCAACGGTCTAGAACTACTCACTCAACAGGGATAATTATCATGATTAAAAATCATGATATTATCACTCAACTCAATAATAACTAAAAATTATCTTAACATCTCACGTACTCAACGGTCTAGAACTACTCACTCAACAGCCTCAATTGCTCGGGCCGATGGTGCAAAATTGGGTCCAAACATTGCCTCCCAAATTTCCTTGGAGTGCATTTTTGCTCACCACCATTTAGTGTGGTGTATGCTCACTACCCTATTTATCATCGTTAAATGAGTTTGAATTTTGAGATTTATACTTATCTATTACACGAATCTCGAAATTCAAACTCATCTAATTATAATAAATAGGGTGGTGAGCATACATCACACTAAATAGTTGTGAGCAAAAATGCTCCCATTTCCTTTAGCTTCGGCTCGTAAGTCGAAAGGTTGAGAAAATTAATCATTTTCGCTTTGGAATTGCCGATTTCAAGTCCTTGAATAAACCCCCTCTCTGTCTAAATAACACTCCTAGACCGAATAGACATCCTTAACAATCTCACCGAAGAAGATTACCTTGAGCCGTCCTTGCAATTTAATGACTTGAAAAAAAGGTTTGGCCTTCCATGCATATGGGGCTTTTATGCACATACCATTGAGCCTTCCTTGCAATTTAATGACTTGAAAAATAAAAAATAAAAAGTTTGGCCCACTGAACAGTTCCATGGCAACACTTATCGACTTGGCAGACGATCAGAACTTGGGATTTAACCGAGTTCAGTCAAATTTGAAACACTGCACCGAACCCCTTGAAACATAAAAGAAATCCAATCAATGTCAAACTGGACATGGCGTTGGTCGAATATTTATGGCACCAATGACTTGGGCATCCATCCCCTTCTCGTCTCAAATTAGCTTCTTCTTTGTTATTTTCTCATGCTATTTCCTTTGACAATAATTGTAGTGTTTGTCCTTTAGCCAAACAAACATGACTTCTGTTTTCTTTAAGTTCAATGTCGACTCATGCACCGTTTGTTTTATTACATTGTGACATATGAGGTCCTTACAAAATTCCCACTCACTATGGGGCTCGTTTCTTTCTTACAATTGTGGACGATTTTAGTCGATGCACTTGGGTGCTTTTAATGTCTCACAAATCTGAGACACAACCTCTTTTAAGGTCCTTTATCACCTTTGCTCACACTCAATTTCATGCCACAGTTAAAACCATCATAGTAGACAATGGGTCTGAATTCCTATCCATGAGGGACTATTTTCAATCTAATGACATCGAACTTTAATGCACTTGCATTTACACCCCCCCCCAACAGAATGGGGTTGTTGAAAGCAAACATCGCCATATTCTTACAGTGGCACGTGCTTTACACTTTCAGTCCAACATACCCTCATATTTTGGGGTGATTGCGTACTCACTACCGTCTATCTCATCAACTGTTTACCTTCACCTTTACTTTCCAACAAATCACCCTTTGAACTATTATACAAACGTCCTCCATCCCTTGAGCATCTATGCGTTTTTGGATGTCTCAGTTATGCTACTGTTGTCCACCCTACCCACAAATTTGAACCTAGGGCTCACCGGTGTGTTTTCATTGGCTATCCCACAGGTCACAAAGGGTATAAACTTTACAACTTAGAAACTAAAAAGTTTTTTATAAGCCGTGATGTAAAATTTCATGAGACTTCATTCCCATTTTCTAATCTTTCAGAGCAATTCCACCCCTAAAGGCTTTGCGCCAGCACCAAGCCCATTTAATCCACTCAGTGAAAAGTGATAAACTCTAATAAACAGTAATAGGCCAATGCATATCCACCCCTAAAACTAAATGGCCTAGTCAATTTTATTAAAATATTATTAATTTTTATTATAAAATAATAAAAATTAATAATTTGATTTTTAATTTTTGAGTTTCTCCCAAAAAATGCTCCTTAGACCAGAGCACATCAACCCACCCCTCATTTCCACCCTCCATCAAATCCCCACCTCCCCTTCACTCTCTGCTTCCTCTCCACCGCCCTCCGTGATTCGACCCGCCCCAAACCGGTCTACATCAGTGCCCAGGCTCCCCAGCTCCAAACCCGCCGCCTCTGGACCTACACCCTGACCTTCAGCTGCATCGCCGGATTTGTATGTCATCGTCCTCAACAGCTTCCAAAACCAGATCATCCTCAACAGCAAGTTCCGTGTCGGCGACCTCGTCCTCAAAGGTAGCATCGTCCAGCCGTCTTCCTCGCCGGAGATAGAGTTCGTTGTCACCGATTTCAGATCATGACTTTAGCCTAACGTCATGTAGGCCGATCCCAAGGTCTGTCAATTTTGGGCTGGCCTGATGACCAACTTGGGCTGGGTGCCAGGCAATCCTGTGGGCTGGAGAGACTTCCTAGGTGCCGGGCCATTTTTTTAGCTATGTGTCGGCCTATCCCACCCCCGGTGGAAGTGCTCTCATCTCCTGATTCTCATACCACCACCCTTAACCCCATAAATCAGGACCCTACCTCTTTTTCTCCCATTTCCCATTTTCCTCTACTATTTCATGCACCTGCCAACATCATTGATCAACCACTTCTTGCACCTGCCAACATCATTGATCAACCTCTTGCCTTAACCCCACTTAGCAATGACCCCACTACTGCCCCTTCACGGACCGACATTCCCACTCCCATTATCCCACATATTCCCCCCTCACTGACATCCATCCATAACCTATGCCCACCTCTCCTCCATTACTCCACGTCCTCACCCATCCTACACCCCTTACACCTTCTCCTACGCATCTTAATGCCTCTCATCCCGACCCTGATATTCCCATTTCTTCACCACCCATTCTCCCTTCTCCCAGGCACTCCACTTGTCCCAAACAGCCACCGGCATGGACTAAAGACTGTCACATGTCTCACCAAGTCAATCACTCTTCTCTAGCACCACATTCT